GCTAACATGCCATACATAGAGATGTCTGTTAAAACTGAAGGTAAATACTTCTTTGCCTATTCAGGTTTCTACATACATTTTTTAGTTACAGATGAAATAACATGAATTTTGTATACATATTGTATTTCCTTGATGGCTTATTATCTGTTACTAAAACCAATGTTGTAGTGTTGGATGAGGAAGATGAAACTATCACTGCTGGCTCTATAGTTACTGTGACAGTCAAACTAGTCAGAAAAGACATGGGGGAGATGTTTGAAAACCAGATTCCATTAGCAACACTTGAAGATGATACATCTGAGCATGCAGACAATGACAAAGAGGAAGAAAATGAAGACAAAGAAGATGAGGACAAACAGGTAAACAAAAATTAGTTTGAAGGGGTAATTTTAAAGATACATTTTCAAATGTAAAACATTACTTGCATATGGAATGTATTCACCATTACTATATTTTTAATAAGTTTGTCTAGATTCTTATTTGAAAACAAAATAAATGTTGTATTGTAAGGATGCTCAACAAGAGTTGGCAGGTCATGGAGATCAGGCTAGCAAGGAAGACAACAAGAACAAAGTTTGGGACAAAAACAAAAAAGCCAAAAAAAAAGGAGGCAAAGTGAAGAAGAAGACTAAACAGGTCTATCAGTGGAAGGCAGTAGCTCAAGCCAAGGCAGAGAATGCCAGTCAAGCTACAGGCGTAAGTTTAACTATGCTTTCACCACTCCTAATTTTTAGGTGGGATGAAAAGGGGGGGGGAGGAGTTCATTCTGTTTTTGCTTATCAGTCATTAACTTTCTACAAGAAGCTTACTTGTGCTGGTACTTTTCAGAGCAACCTTAAACAATCTATCTTTACGTTGGTTCTTTGGATCCTAGAATTGACACAAGTTAGTCACAATAAAGTTAGGAAATTGTATGATAATAGCATCAAACTAATTTACACTCAATTTTTGTATGTAAAAGAGACAAAGTTGATTCAACTTCAGAAGTGAGATATATATAGAGAAAAATTATTTCAACCAAAATACTAACATTTTTCATCTTTATCCTTATTATACCATACTGGGTAACTAGCTTCAAATCCAACATATGTAATTCTTATAACAGAAGAGAAATATTAGCAAAGGCACCAAAAATCTTTTTTTGCATAGCCTGATTCACACTTTTGTAACCTGATCTTAATCATGTAATTATGCTTCTGTTTTTTAAAGTATTTTTATTTTAGACGTTATAGTGAAAGTTAAAAAATTTGAATAATACTTTATGTAATGCAAACTACCGTAGAATTATCTGTCATTGAAATTGTAGAATTTTACTTAAAAATATTAATATTAACTCATGGATATTGTTCAGATTGTCTATAGAGTCCGAGATGGGTATAATAAAACAAACTGTATGACAGATTTACTTAATTTCAGGCCAAAGCCATCACAGAAAGTGATTCTCCTAAATCAACCAAACCAAATAAGTCTGAGAGAAAAGAAAAGAGTGATGACATTGAAGGAGATGATGTCTCTGAAGAGGAAAACAATGTCACAGAAGATGAAGAGGAAGAAAAACCTGAAGCTTCAGCGGACAAATCAAAAAGTAAAAAAGATGATGATGATGAAGAAGATGATTGGGATAATTACAAATTAGAATCAAAAAAAGAGAACTCATTAGAAACCAAAGTCAAAGAAAGTCATCCTGTTCACTGCCCTTACTTTCCAGAGGTTAGTTTTCAACAGCTCAATACTTTGTTTTGTCCATTGAAGAGTTTAGTTCATTATTTTTTTCAGAATAATTCATGTTTTAAGAGTAAAAAACCATCTTCAGACACCACTTGGGATTTTTTTTTAATCTGACACCATTTTGAGAGAATTACATCCTTGGTACAGTTAGCCTAATAATGCCTATTGGGACCCCTACCATGGTGACTCTTTTTTTTAGTGAAAACCAGATGTTTATAGCTATTTTCATATATATTTCTTTAAAATTTTTGAGACAAAGGTGCACACACTGCAGTTTACCCTGGAAATTGAGTATTTTTATTTTAAAGGTATTAAAAGTATCTAATATATTTTTGAAACTAGACTTATTTATCTATTTTTATTTTTTTTTATTCATAGGTATCTCTCTTTTTAAGGAAGGAAATGTTTTGTTTTTTTTAAATCTAGAAATGGGCGTTGAGTTTGGACGTAGCATAGAGATTGTAGAAATAAATGATAAAATAATTTCCATTTTAATAAGTCATTTTCAAATGACTTGACATTCCTTTCATTTGCCACATTTTTTTACTTTTAACTTGCTCCCATTTTTTGGGGGGTTCATTGTGTCCTGAAACCTAGGAATATCTGGGTTATGGTTATTGTGAAGTCTTAAGTTTCATTTTAGCTACCTTGGGCTTTAAAAAGTTAATTGGCTCAAGATTAACACATGAAAACAAGAAAATCAGTTGGTGCTAATTGTTCTCAATGAATTTATTAAAGTTTAGAGTGTTTTCTTCTATCTGAACAACCACAAGAAAGGAAATGTGTTAAAAAAGCTAGAACACCTGAATCCCACAGAATACACAAATAAATGAAAATAATTTCCTTTCACTAATCATGAACATTCAAAATGTCTTTATTTTCTCTCTTTCCAATTCTTTGAAACCAGAGACCAAAGGCAGACATAAAATCCTTTAAGTTTAGTTAAAAGCTAGAGTTGTCTGACCAGAAATTTATTCTTGTAGATAATGCATAGCAGTTTCATTTGTCCTGGAATCTGTTTCTCCTGTACTACCTCACAATTAGTCCATACTGGCTGCTTCTTGGACAGACCAGACCGTTTTTTTTTTTGGGGGGGGGGGGGTCATAATTTGCCTTCTCTTCCTTTGTCTTGTCATTTAAAATAAAATAATTTTGTTCTCATATTTATGTTCTTCATTAAGTCTTAAGGTGTATGTTCATGTGATTTGAACTATTATTTCCAGCAATGACATCTTTCTGTTGTTCTCTAGGTGAAGCAGGAGGCCTGGTGGGTGTATGTAGCTGATAGGAAACGTCACTTGTTGATAACTGTCCCCGTCCATGTTTGCAGTTTGAAAACTGAGGAAAAGGTATTTATTGAAATAGTGTGGAGTATTAAATAATTAAGACAGTATTACTGCATTAGGTTGTGTACTTTTACTTTTTATTCCAGTTCAGCTAATTAGTCTGTTAACTGTTTGACTGATTTATAGTAGGCCTATTAACAATGTTTCTCTTACTAGATTGAATTGAAGTTCTCTGCTCCTGCCAAGCCAGGTCATTACCAATATGTTGTGCATCTCCGCTCTGACTCTTATTACACTGATTTTGATCAATCCCAACTTATTAAGGTAAGGAAATCAAATATTTGTTGGATTGAATTGTTAACCTGATGTCAATGTGACCTAGTTGAAGTAAATGTCAGGGATCACTTTGGATTTGAACCCAAAAAATAATCTTTGAAAGTGTAGGACTGAAAAACAATGGTTGACATTTACTTTTCAATAATAACAGTTGTCTACCTTCTTATAGACTTATACAAATTAATGACTGGTAATTATTTTAACCCAATAGCTCCAAATGCAGTAGGATGTGTTCTTTACTGTAGAGACCAAATTCAATAAGTTTTAATTGCAAGTTAGCAAGTTTTAAACTTTCATCATGACTTGTTCAGACTGAGAACGCAGGTGTGGTGTCTCTTCAGTGACAAATGGGTATGGGTGTGTTTGTGTAAAGCTTCCTAAAAATTTTTAAAATGAAAGTGCTGATATGGCAGTATAGAAGGCCTACATTGTCAATTTAGTATTTTTGAAGATTGTTTTTATTCTTAAGGTATTAGAAAATATTTTTTTTTTAACTAGACATATTTATAAATTTTTTAAATTGTATAGTTATTTTGTGTATTGTATTAAATTTGTCTCAGTTTTTTTTTTAATAGATTTTTTTTTACAGCTCCCTCTCTTTGCTTTAAATTTGGAGGGAAGCTTTTCAAACTAGAAATGGGAGTTATTGGGTTATGCTAATTGATTTACTCGTACAAAGCTATCAATTCATTCAATTCCTAAAAGAAATAATCAATATGCAGTTGTTTTTTTTTAAGCAAAAGGTAGCCTGATCCAAAAACTTGTTCTTTTAATGACTTTCAGTTGGATGTTCACGAAGCTAAAGTGATCAAAGATCATCCACAGTGGAACATTTCTGAAGATGAGGATGAGAAAGATAAAGATGATGACGACAGTGAAGAAGATGATTCTGATTATAGCTCTGAGTCAAACGAGTCAGAATAAATGATCTTGATTTGTATTTGTTGACATTATTTGAGAGTGATTCATGAAGAGTTTCATAGCTCCTAACCAGACATTGGCATGTTTCTGTAACTTGCTGTTATAATGGAATCTTACTCGCTCCATGAATTGATTGATTCAACAATCAATGTGATGAAAAGTGAAAACTTACTGTCTATTTTAGTAATTGTTCATTGAGCTCATATACTTTAGGGGACTATGGCAACAGATTTTTTAACTATTCTGTTTTATTCCATTATTTATTTTTTTTTGTGTAAGAGTTGATATTTTGGAGATGAAATCTAGGTTTCGGGTCATTGTTTTGTTTCTCAGTCACTAAAGGTGTATAGTTATAAATAATTGTTTTGTGTTGTTGATCCACTGTCGATGTTTTGGCGGGTACCAAATTGTGGACTGTGACCTACCTGGCATTTATTAATTCCCTTTGGCATTTTAGATTACAATTGAATCATTTTGGCATTCTTTTCTATTTATACAATCAGTCTAGATTTTATCAACATTTTGCAAATGAAAATGTATTTGTAAATATAAAAACAAAGGTTGTACCAATTAAATCCTAAGTTAGGGCAATTAAAGTGGAAAGTCTAAACTTTGATCTCTTTTTTGTAAAGAAACACATTTTGTTTTCTATACATGAAATCAAATTTTATATTATATATAAGTATATATATATATACTCACATTAATTGCATACAGAACATATTCTCTTTTTTTTTTTTTTTTTTTTTTTTTGTCACTCCAAAGCGACTTTAAAATATTTACCAGAAGCTTAATAGTTCCGTTAAGGTAACTTAAAAAAAACAACCTTTAAATGATTTTGTCAGGCTTAATTCAACAAAGCTGGACAAGTTTCATTGCTAAAATGTGTTATAAATTATTGAAACATTCAACTCTTGTTATTTTTGCCTGCTTGTCATGTTTATTTATTGATTTAATTTTTAGTTCAATGACATGTAAAGAACTAAATTTTAAATAAAAAACATTTAAATGCAAATTTCATTTTTAAAAGTCTGTATTTGTGTGTATTTGTTGAATGTTTGTTCAATTTCTGGCTCAAAATTCTGAATTAGCCTCTTCAAATTGTAAACATTTCTCTACACTCATTAGATTGAATGTGTTATCATTAGTCTAGCATGAGTACAACTCTGAACATTTTGTTATACTTTTATATTCCTAAATGTGTCATAGCAGTCTGTAGTTTGGTACATTTGTAGAGTTGAACATTTTAGACTGTTCCTAAATGTGTCATAGCAGTCTGTAGTTTGGTACATTTGTAGAGTTTAACATTTTAGACTGTTCCTAAATGTGTCATAGCAGTCTGTAGTTTGGTACATTTGTAGAGTTTAACATTTTAGACTGTTCCTAAATGTGTCATATCAGTCTGTAGTTTGGTACATTTGTAGAGTTTAACATTTTAGACTGTTCCTAAATGTGTCATAGCAGTCTGTAGTTTGGTACATTTGTAGAGTTTAACATTTTAGACTGTTCCTAAATGTGTCATAGCAGTCTGTAGTTTGGTACATTTGTAGATTTTAACATTTTAGACTACTGTGTTCATCAATAGATGGAATTGTTCACTTCCCAGTGTCCTTTGTTTCCATTGACTCACTGGATTAGCCACTTCACATCTCTGGTTACTTTGTATTGCCTAGAAAGGCATAAGGCTCTTCTTGTTTCACTGAAGATGTTTGATGTATCACTAATCGTAGAAACATGTTAAGTCTTAACAAAATGGTGGAGGCTTAGATGGAAAGGTTGAAAGCCAAGAAGAAAAAAAAGAAAATATTGAAATAATTACTTGCTCTAAGATACAGGTTTATTAGTTGTGGTTGTTTTTTTTTAACTTTGTTGCAAGTTTTTTCTTACTTTAAGCTAGTCTGTCATGAGCAGTAAAACCTGGGTGGAAAATAACAACAAAATAAAGTTACAATAAGACTATGTTAGCGCTTAAAAATGAATGAGTTTTAATTAACATCTAGTAAATGCAGTGATGGTATTGAAAAAATGCCAGGGGTTATTGGGTATTAACTTCAAATCAAAGAAAGTGTACTGAATGACTAATACATATATGCCAAGATGAGAATCTAACTTTGGGGAAAGAGGGGGGGGGGCAGCGCTACTCTCAGACTTCAGAGAAACTTGAGATGCTGTACATGCCTGAGATCCATGACTTCATCATTCTAATGGGAAACAGCTCACGTGTGGTTGTAAAAAAAAACAACCTGGAAAGAACTATAGAAAACAAAATTGCAATACATATACGAGACAATTTGTACCTGACAAGTTGACTCAACTTCAACCAATCGTGGCACATTTGTCAAAGCAGATAATGTCACTCAATCCGCATGACTGCAGACAAAAAGCTCTTTTGACGAATACATTTCTGCCACTGAAGAGCTTGCATGTATTCCTACATGTGTCGTCTTGACACAGCATACACAGGTCTAGGACTGACACAAAACAGTATCTTATTAGTTTGACATATTAGGCTTGTCACGGTTTTGAACAAACGACTACATTATTCGAACAGATTGCCTTGGCTCACTTTCCTCTCATTCAGACACGTTTTCACAAACCTGCCAATAGGCTACAAGTGCGTGTCCCCATTTCCATTTTACATTGAAACCACAGCCTACTAGATCCATTTGGAAAAAAATATTTTTTTTTTTACAAATACCGAAGACGAACTTATTCTGTACCTTTTAAATCGCGAAATTCTTCTTCAGCACCTATGTTTTTACACTGTAGATAGAATTAATAGATCTAGATTTATAATATATTGCGTAAACAAATGAACTAAGTAGGCCTAGACACCCAGAGGAATGCTGCCATGGTAACGACATTTTTCGCTCTAGTGACTCACAGAAATGATCACGATGGAGAACTGTTAGCCTTCTGACCACGCAATAGTCATCTTCTAGGAAACATCTAACTTCTGACCATGCAATATAGTCATCTTCTAGGCAAACATCTAACTTCTGACCACGCAATATAATCATCTTCTAGGCAAACATCTATCTAACTTCTGACCACGCAATATAGTCATCTTCTAGGCAAACATCTAACTTCTGACCACACAATAGTCATCTTCTAGGCAAACATCTAACTTCTAACCACGTAATAGTCATCTTCTAGGCGAACAGGCAAACATCTAACTTAATAAAAGGTATAAGAATAAAGTGAGATTACCTAAGCCTGCTGATACACAAGTCAGAGCTACGGCCATAAAAATTACTACAATTAATTTCATCTTCCTTAAGTTGAGAGCTGTTAAGTCTACTGGAATCACTTTCTTTTTTCCCATCTGTAGCTGTCTATGACATTTTGTGTTTTTATAGGCCTACTTATCTCTATGACACTCTGTGTAGGCCTATTTATATGCCTACTTATCTGGAAAATGAGACTAAAGTATCTTAGAATATTCTGATTTGAAAATCACAATAATTATTCATGGGACTCAGAATAACAAAAGAAATGGGGTCGTGGTGGCTGAGCGTTAAGCGCTTTGGCTTCTGAATTCCGAACCGAAGGGTCCCGGGTTCAAATCTAGGTGAAAACTGGGATATTGTGATGTTTAGTTTACACAACTCAGATGGGTACCACCTTACATTACTTGGGGAAAGTAAATTTAAAGGCGGTTGGTCGTTGTGCTGGGCACATAACACATTCGTTAATCATCGGCCATAGAAACAGATGAGCTTTATTATCGCAAGGTCTGAAAGGGGTACTTTGCCTTACTTAGTACCTAAAGTAGTTTCCTAGCCTGGTCCGAAACCCTTGCAGAATAGCCGGAGTCTTCATTGCATCAGTTTCCATCTGTCACCACTTCCACGAGGTGCTGCAAAGGACTTGAGGGGCTTTATGCGCTATCACTTATCTGGACAAGTTAGGGGAAAAAAAGGGGTGGGGGTGGAGAAAGGGATATTTCAGGGTAAATTTTACTATAATCGGTTTTTAAATGCCTTATTTACAAGAGTAAAAACAAAAGGGAACGACCTGAATTCGAACTCATGGCTCAACGCGTCTCTTCAAACCGACATACTAACCACTCTGCTAATGAGGTGCATATGACACTAGAACAGGGGTGGGCAAATTACAGCCCGCGGGCCACATGCGGCCCGCCGAAGTGTTTTATGCGGCCCGCCGACACCTATAGAAATCAGGTGTGCCCACGGTATATACATAAAAAATGCAAATATTAAAAATAATATCTATATAAATTATTGAAACTGTCTCATTATAAAAGTTTTAAGTAAGCGAAGATTATGCTTGTTGGCTATACATCAAAACACTCGATTCAAGACACAATCTCTGAGTGTTGGGTAGGCTTGGAAAAAGATGGCAAGTGTAAAAACTTATGAACTCAATCTTCGACTGAGAAAAATTTTTTTTTAAAAATATTCCAACCATAAACTCTAAACAGGAAAGTTTGCTTAAAGCTGCATAAAATTTCATCAATGAGTTGGCTACAAAGGAATAGTAATGAAACTTAGTAGATCTAGGAGAGTTAACCACGGGTAGTTCCGATTTATGAACAAAATAATTCAATCTATCCGCGAGCTTAGCATGAGTAAGGCAAATTTAAAAAGTATATAATTTAAGGAAGAAATTGTTATGTTACTTGAAGGACATTGACTGTGGCCTTGTTACCAATATTTGCAATGAAGAGTGGAAGACAGCTTCCATGTTTTGTATAACCGCTTTTGCAATTGGTTGTTCATATATGAAATATAAATGCATGTTAAATCTTTTCAAACAAGGCTTTCCCATTTCTACAGGCAAGCAAAAGAAAATAGTTTTGTATTTTCCTTTGCTGAAATGTGAAACTATTTTTAGTGAAATAATTAATAGTACAATTCCCTAATTGTGCAATTTATAAAAGCAAATTTTAAGACTTCAAGAACCAGTTTTCAATATTATCAGCTCACCATTTATCGCAGAAGTTCCAGTCAGCACTATCATGGGAGCTTTATGGGTGCCAGAAGCTGCATTTTCATAATTTTCATTTTCAACCCTTGCTGCTGTTCACACTATTTGAGTACACATACATCTGTTCTTCCTCGTTCTCATCTTACATAAGTTGGAGGGTTCAGATCAGTAATCCTATATCTGAAATGAACCGCGCAGTGGTTTCCAGATCAGGCAGTTCTCCGAATAGTCTTTGGAGAGTCTTGTTCGGGTCTCTTGATTTAGTATGCACCATTGAAGGACATGGTCAGCATTCTCTGGTGATGCTCCACAAGGGCAGGTTTCCCTCGTCTCGACATTTAACTTCCAGAACATATATTATTGTCTCATTCAGTGAGCTATCATTTTTTTTGTGGAAACTAAACAAGAATAATCACTGGACAATGTTGACTGACTGTAATTTGACAGCAGTCACACACAGGGATAACAACTAGTAAGATAGTTTCACAGTTCCTGAACATTATGCACGAGTGTAAAAAGTAAAATACTGCACATTAAGTACACATGTATATTTGTGGGGATATTGTGATATAAAAAGACAACAGCAATTTTAAAATAATCGTAAAATTGGTTTCGAAATTGCTAACTCTTGTTGTAATTTTTCAACGTGGAGTGTGAAAAAAAAAAAAGAAAGAAATGTGAATATAATTCAGTGTAAATAGGAATTAAAAGACATTCTACACAGTTAGCTAGCGTATCTTTCTAAGATATATACATATATGCGGCCCGCCATTCCCCAACTTTTTTTAATGCGGCCCTCGATACAAAAAGTTTGCCCACCCCTGCTATAGAAGACTGTATAGTTTTGTACTGCTTGTTTAAACGTTACAATAGGCAACCTTGAGCTCGTTTTTCCCTCCTTAGGCTTAGGTGCATTCGATTGGGTATTTCCGTTTTTTTTTTTTTGTTGTTTTAGAAATCGAAAGTAGTGCTTCAAGGAACATGTCTAGAATAGATTATTTATGATCAAATAGATGAATAGATGCTAGACTACTCTACTCTAGATCTACTAATTTTATAGATAAAA